GAAGCATTTCCATGCAGATGCTCTCCTGCATACAAAGGTGAGAAGAAGAAAGAAGAGGTCCCTCTTTGGGAGCTGTCCCTGGGGGAGGATTCTGACTGAGCCCTCAGAGGAACACGTGCTCTCCCTGTGCTCCACGGCTCTGGGCTTAGGTTATCTCATTCCAGAACAGGATTTGTAGAGAAGCTGGTCAGAGTGCTGGGTGAGTTCTTAGATGAAGGAGGACTTTACAGATAGGGCAACAATTCCATACATCCCAGATATAACAGGGAAATATATATATATATATATATATATATATATATATATGCATTTATGAAAATCATTTTCTTGATGCTGTCTGAACTCAGTGTTTTTGTTTTTGTACATATTACATATAAATTCTTTTTTTGCTGTTCTTCACCTAAGTGTTTTCTCCTTTGCTGGTCCTTCAGAGTTTTGAATCCTTTTCTGTTTGCAAGTGTAATGAAGAAATGGAGGCATAATACAACATGTCGAGGGCAGTGCCTATGCTGATTCCAAGAAGTCTCAGCCCAAGATCCAGCGGGTCACACCTAAATTCTGCTATCCTTTTATTCTCAGAGGTACTTGTCTCAAATAAGAAAGTTGTCAATAGCTTTGTAGAATTTTAGACACTCAGTTGACTTGCAGTTTTATTTGTATTTGTGCAATGCATTTGGACATATTTATGTTTATGTGTGACTATCAAAAAATCCTATTGCAACACGTATATTCCTCCTTTTCTCTGAAAGAAAGCAAATAGTTATACTTGTGTGATTTTATTGTTCCCTCTGTTGTGCATCATTACATGAGTCATTTATTAAATAGATGGGACCTGTTTAGGTTGCATATGGACCACACCTTGCTTTGTCATCCTCATCTTTCTTTTTTTTTTTAATTCAGTACACAGTCTACAGGGTCTCACTACATAGATCAGACTCATATTGATTCTTCTCTTTTCAGCCTACCAAGTGAGGGGATTACACTGGCACACCACCATCCCCAGTCTCAATCACCCTCTCAGTGTGTCCGGGATAAGGAGGGTGGTAGTCGGGGCTGGGCCAGCATGGTCTGTGGTGCCTGGAATCAAACCCCAGCTCCTGCCTAAGAAGAAGTCTTAAGGTTTGCCAAAGCTCTGCCTAAGCAGACGCTTCAGTCCTCTGATCTATCTGGCCAGCCCTCCATCCACATCTGCATGTGCAGTGTAGTTGATTCATGTCATGGTAACTGTGAAAACTGCATGACTCATGAGTGTGCATGTGTCTCCCTGACAAACAGAAATGATTTCCATCTGCTATGTTGACGTTACTGGATTATGCAGGATTTCTATTTCTAAATTTTGAGAAACAGATATTGTTTTCTATACTGGGTGTGCTAATTTACATTCTCAGGAACAAAAACCTAGGCATTTTCATTCCTGGATATATTTTGAGAAATTTTAAAACACTTTCTCTCTGATAATGGTCATTCTTTGATACAAAGTTCAATGATGTTCAGTGTTATTTATATATTTTTCAATTATCTCTGTATCATATAGGTCTACTTCTAAAAAACTGATGTTTAGGTATTTTTTAATATATTAGGATACATGCATTCTTGTGTTGAAACATTTCTTCTTATACAATGTATACGTAAGTTTTAGTCAAATGGAAATATTTTTAAGTGTGCTATAATTAATCTCTTTAAGTGGGTTATTGTCTCCTGTTGTGCAGGTGCTTCTTATTTGAAAATAATCCTATTTGCCTATTTTTGTATTTATTGTCAGTTATTTTAGGGTCTGGACCAAAACCCTGTCGCCAATTCCAGTGCTACAAACTGCTTTCTCTAGTTTATCTTTATCACTGTTTTAAAATTCAATTTAAATATTTTCTAGACATACTTTAAAAAACTTAGCTGTTGGGGCTGGTGAGATGGCTCAGTGGTCTAAAGCACCTACTTAGAACAAGCTTGGCAAAGCAGAGGGACCACGGTTCAATCCCCCAGCACCACATGCCAGCCAGCCCCGCCCCCTGGTGGGCTGAGCTGGACAGACACACACACACACACACACACACACACATACATAAATAAAAATTTAAAAAAAAACTTAGTTGTTGATATTTTAATTTTGAAGTATCTGATTTGTATCATTTTTCTAAGGTCCCTTGCATAAATTATTTCCCAGTAATTTGAGTTTTGAAAAAAGTTTTTAAATTTCTGCTTAAGTGGAATCATTTATTTGTGAATTTGAAATGTTTCTATTTTTTAAATTAAATTCACTGAGAAAGAAATAGCAATGAGAAAGTTTCAGAACAGGTTGGTAGAACAGTTACAATAATTGATACATTGCATATTGTTGTCTTTGTAGTAGTTATTCCTAGCACAAGACACAGATGTGATAACTTGTATAAACACTATTAGTACAAATCTTTCTTCTCATTGAATAAAAAGAAAATAGCTGTATATCCTAACTATTTTGTATATGTAAATATATACATGTATATTTTCACTACAAAATGGTCCTTTATATCCCCTTTTTTGTTTAGTTTTGTTAAAGATGGATATTCCATTGCCATTTAAATATTGTATGTGTTTGAATTCAGCAGCAGGCAAACAATATATATCTCTATTTTGTTGTTATTTTGTTATGACATTTTTGTGTGTAGAGCAACTTTCTTCCATCATTTTGGGGGCATTTGGTCCCCTGTGTGGCTATACTATCTAACCTATTTTTTCCTCCCGCCCCCTATCTAATCTATTTTAATATATTCACAATGTCACCATCAAAAAACTTAACCATAAGATGTCATTAATGTCTACAGAGTACTTCACCTGGATTTCATAGATCTGTCATTGTGCAGAAGAACATTGGGCCATGCTTTTGCAGGACAGACACAGTGTGAGCTCTATAGGAATGTGGGAAAGTCACATATTCTCCAAATAGGAATAGTTACTTGTATAGAGAAACAAACAGGGATTCAGGACCAAAGGGAAGCCAAGGGCTGAAATGCTGACAACCCATGAAGATGGGCTTGAAGCTCTAAAAGGGTGAGATAAAATAACCCTTCTCCTTTTTTTCATTAAATTATTGCAGATATTTGTTATACCAATAGAATGTAGTCCCATAGGCTAGGAGGTCTTCATGTTAAATGAAACAAAGTCAGGCACAGCAGGACACATCCCACAGGAGGTCATTTCCATGTGTCTAATATCATAGCTCATCTCAGAAAAAGAGAGAGTAACTGGTGGACACAGGCAATGGCTTGTGTGGAAGATGGAGAAGCTGGAGTGTTGAGAACAAGAACAGAAGGTGTTATCCCCTGTATTCTTTCACGCAGAGCTGTGGTGAGAAGTGAGCATGTTGTGCAAGATAATCCCTAGTAGATGGAAGAATGTGTGGGCAGTGTCTTACTACACAGCCATGGCTAAGTCTACAAAGGATGGATACATGAGGGCATGGAGTTCATCAATACAGAGACAACAAATGTACCACAATATCACAGGGAAACTAAAGAAAATGTTCATTTCTTATATATTATTTAATGATGAAAGTTTCAGACTTAATGTCCCTTCTCAGTGATAGACCATGTGTTCTACATGTGCCAGGTCCATTACCACTGATATGAGATACAACATAAAAAAGGAGATAAAACATAATATCTACATAGGTTAATATTAACCTAGGTAAACAAAACTTAGAGCACCAAGAGGACCAGCGATATAACTCATCAGGCTAACACATGCCTAGGCAAGCACAGGGACGGGAGTTTGATTCCTGGCACCACATGCCACACTGTCCCCACCCTTGGGCACAAGGAACCAACCAATGAGTCTGGGTGTGGTGGTGCACACCTGTAATCCCAGAGCTGGGGAGCCTGAAAACAACAATCACTATGAGTGTGAGCAGCGTAGTGAGAATCGGAACCAAATAAGTAAAAAGAATAAATTTTAACACTATAAGATAGCCTAAGTTCAGCCATGAAGCTTGGTAAAGCTGTAAAAGCACTGCTATTTACTACTACATCTGCATTTGTTAACTCATGATTAGGAACTACAATCTTTTAGAAAATATATATATTTAGTACAGGGTCTACATGACCTGACTACACACTTTGGACTTGTAGTGATCCTCCAGTTTTCAGCCTCCCAAGTGCTGGGATTACAGGCATGCTCCACCACACATCATCTCAATTGCTTTCTTAGCCCACCCTGGAGGCAGGACCAGCACATCTCCTCAGGGACCAAACCTTAGTCCCAGCACTCGGCCCAAGCAGGTGCTTTAATCCGCTGAGTTATCTGGCTGGCCCATCACTACAAACTTTAAAAATGAAAGAACAAAACAGGTATTGCAGAAACAAAATGAAAACAATAGAAATGACACAGCCTTGCCAAACTGATCACAGACAATTTCACACAGCTGTCACAAAAAAGACTAATGAACTGCCCATAGATGAAACCTGAGGATCAGATTAAATAGAACGACAATACAAAGTGCACGAGTTTTGGAATAATGCTGATGTACAATAGGAGTCAGTGAGCCCCAAGAAGAGAGATGAAGGAGGTGAGAAGAATTAAAGCTCTGAACTGTCCCTGGTGCCTAAAGCATGAGGACCAATTCCACGAACATCGAGAGTGAGAAGTCCCCAGCTCTAGGTCATGTCTGGCAGTGCAGGTCATGCTGAGGAAGCTGTGGCGGCAGACAGGAGGGACGCACAGAGTCAAGGGCTGAACTGGTGGCTGCTGGCAGGAAGGCAACATTCTTATCTATTTATTTATTTGCTTTTACTTTACAAATTGTTAATGCAATTTAAGGAAACGTATGCCATTAAGATCATAATTTCTCTTTTCAGGCTTTCATGAGTACACCATCATTTGCTTCTTCATTTTATTTTTAAAGAGAATAAAATATAGTCAAAAAATAGAAACAATACAGAATTTCAATAAACAAAATAATAGAAACAATGGTTGTTATACTGCATATTGTCTTCAAGTGAGCTGTTCAGATTACAAGACATAATCTCCCACCGCCCCCGCCGTGGGTTCCAGCAGCTCTGGCGGCGGGAGGAACGGCAGCGGTCGAGCTGCGTATCTCCGCGAGGCTCCCGTGCGCCTCGACCCGCAGCCTCCTCACGCGCCCCGCGCGCCGCCAAGATGCCTAAGAGGAAGGTCAGCTCGGCCGAAGGGGCGGCGAAGGAGGAGCCCAAGAGGAGATCGGCGAGATTGTCGGCTAAACCTGTTCCAGCTAAAGTGGAAACGAAGCCAAAAAAGGCTGCCGGAAAGGATAAATCTTCGGACAAAAAAGTGCAAGCAAAAGGGAAAAGTGGAGCCAAGGGAAAACAGGCTGAAGTGGCTAATCAAGAAACCAAGGAAGATTTACCTGCGGAAAATGGAGAAACTAAAAATGCGGAGAGTGCAGCTTCTGATGAAGCAGAAGAAAAAGAAGCCAAGTCTGATTAATCACACACCATGTCTTATCAGTGCTCCCTGTCTCCCTTCTTGTACAATCCAGAGGAATATTTTTGTCAACTATTTTGTCAATGCAAGTTTTTTAGTAGCTCTAGAAACATTTTTAAAAAGGAGGGAATCCCACCTCATTGCATTTTTTAAGTGTAAATGATTTTTTTTAGGGTAAAATCATTCTCTGGTTGTTTATTTTTTGGTACAACCAGAAATAGTG